AAAATCTCAATCCAAATCCAACTTTAGTTTCACAAAGAAACAAGGCATTCACACCAGACAGTCCACTTTGAGGAGTCACGGACAGCAGTACATATGGAGGAAAAATATGAAATTTCTACAGAACAAAGGCCCATGAATCTAGTTTCAAATGCCACTGACGGCACCTTAATCGGATTTTCCTACACCAAGATATAAGCATTTTACTGAGACTGGTCAGTAAGTCCCGAAAATCTGGAAGCTCTTGCTCACATGGGGAAAAGCTCCTTTTTCTCTTTTTAAAACCACAAGGCTTTTTGTCTAACCATTCATACGACTCTAATAGAATTTAAGCACCACATTTTCCAGTCAATTTCAACCATTATGAATTCAAAGAATAATTTCACAATCAAGCTGGAAATTCTTACTCAAACTTTGACAACTACAGGGAAAATTTCCAGCATTCGTATACCCACGTTTTTGGTTAAGTCATTCGTGATATCAAGTATTTCATTGCTAAACAGCATGTATGTCTTAAAATGCACCCTTTTTCTGTGTTTCGAAACCATTTTATGCCAAGGAAAATATTCGAACATCAACTAGTGAAATCCGGAAACAATTCAATATTTTCTGCTCAAACGTTTGGTTAGCTAAATTTTCCAGCAACCATTTGTCTTGTATAAAATTTCTCCCTTGGCTTATTCAGGGATTTAGATACTCAAATCCGGCATACGGATACTTAATTGGCTGAGTAACATTTCCAGTTCCAAAAATAAAAATAACAAAAGTTCAGGTGGGATAACAACACAAGTCACCGAATTTCCAAGAAAATCTCCATCTAGCCTCGGCATGAGCTGCACAAAATCCAGTTGCATCTTATTTTTATTTTCAGTTCTGACCCAACTATTTAGCTACATGCAAAGCTAAGATTTCCTTGCTATAAGCTAGCTGGTTACGATTATAGGCAATTAAACCAAATCAAGATGCATTAACCCAATCAAGCTCTCGGCAGCTCACAAGGAGATTTCCAGCAATGGTATGTTCTTAACTCCAACCTTTTCCTTGGCCAAAACAGGGTATTTAGTTACTCAATTCAGTAGGCCAACACCTAGTTGGTAATTAGCTTCTTTAGTTCAAGAATTAGGTTTGATCAACACCAATGACGTTCAATTTTTTCGAGAACAAAGTTTCCAGCTAGCCCCGGAATAACCTGCATGAAACAGATCCTGTTCTCATTTTATTTTCTTGGTTTGCCGTGTTAATCATCCTCATGCCAGCCTCAATCATCAAGTTGTTTGCTAGATAAGTATAGATATCAACTCAGATTATCACATTTAATCACATTAGATTGCAGTTCAAAATTTCCAGCTCACGGTAATTCAACTCCTCAAGCAGAGTTTCTCACACCTCTGGTTCCAACATTTGATCGAATCACTCTATGTGCAAGGCCATAGTTCTCTTGTCTTAAGTTAGGTAACACAGCCGAGAGCTCAGGTTATCAATAGGGATAGTTAGGATTAAAATCACAGCTTGTCAAAATTATGCGAATTAAGCAAATCATTTCCAGATTATTCTCGGCAGAATCATATCCCTTAAAACAAAATTTTCCTAAGCTTCTTAATACAACATCCGAACACTTGATTGACATGCATGGTCTTAAATCTCATGTCCAGAGTTAAATAATCGCATAGGTGAGCTCAGATTACCCCAGGGAAATAAGATTGAAGCTGCATTGCTAATACAGCTACTCGGCAGGGACATATAACCAAAACAGAAATTTTCCTAATAGCTTAAATCCATCATCCGATGGTACCACAGTACATGCATGCTTCAAGATAGCTCATACTACCCCTGATTAGTCCTAAAATAATCCATAATTTTACCTCACAGAAGCTCACTCACTCGACAGAAAGCTGAAGTCAATCCCTCTCACTCGGCTCTTCTCCTCACGCACGGCAGACTGGTTCTAGTTGGGTTGCAGTGGGTGCAGCTGGTGATGGTGGAAGCTGGATAACACTGGCTGAGCATGGAGAAGGCAGAGGCAAGTCTGCTCACGGCTCCTCCTCCTCTCCTCCCTCTTCGATGCTTGCGGACAGAACCAGAAATGGGCTCGCAACTCCCAGCTTCCTCCCTCACTCTCGACTATAAGTAGCAGCTCAACCTCTCCCTCACTCTCGGTCGATAATAACAAGGGGAGGGTGGAGTGTGGCCTGGGTTGAAGGATTGCAGAGGCTATGGAATGGAGGTGGAGTGTGCAGGAGTGATTGAGTGTGTAGATAGAGAAGAAGGGCATTGGCCGGATGAAGAGGTGCTTGATCATTGTGTTCCGGGGGAGTGTTTGGTGTTGCAGAAATTGGTTATGGCCGTGGGTGATGTTGTGAAGTTGTGAGGGATATTTTAGTCTTTTCACCACTTCTCCTATTAGCCACTTAAGGCCTTGGTCTTAACTTGATCCCAAAAATTAATCCCAAGTATGATTTGATCGCTTAATTATACGCTAATATACCTAAACCATTTTTATCGAATAATAATCAATTAAACTTGAATATTAAGGTTCCTATTAATTCCTGACATTATTTAGCGATTAAATTAGTTATCAGAATTTCCAATTATTTGTTCCCAAGAAATAGAGTTAGTCTAACTCGAAATTTATCGATTTAGTATAATGAAGTCAAGTGAAATAATACTTTAATGCAAGTGTGCCAGTTTGCACATAAAAGTTATTTTTACGCACTTATTTGAAAACAAAGAAAGATAAGGATATATTTATCGAATTTTCACGCCGTAAGCATGTTTAATATATTAGAATCATATTTATCTAAAATTCATTGGTTTTCATCTTAACGCGGAAATTCCTATTAACATTTAACATTATTAACGATTAAAACTAGTTATCGGAAATCAAAGAATTTATTTTAAGGTAATAGAATTAATCCAACTCAAGAAATATTAATTTAGTATAGCAAACCGAATAATTCAATATTGGCACAATTATATTATTTATTACATAGAAATTATCTTTATACTTTTATTGCAAAACAATTAATTACAATACTAGAATTCAAAGAAATTAATTATTAGATCAATGAAATAGTTTACCATAGAAATATGAAGTTAATGTAACAAAACTAAGAAGTTTAGTAGTTTAGCACAATTCTTTTATTTTGCACCTGACGTTTATTTCTACGTACTCATTTAAAGACAATTGGACTTAGTGCTAAAATTTATTAAAGAATTAAAATGTAAATAAAATATGCACTGATATTTATATGTCTATTTTCAGGGTTCTCACAGAAACTCAGGCGCGCATGGTTACTAGAGCTATGAAGGTGAGGACTAGAGCCGAGTCGATCCCGAACGTTTGTGATGACCTACTTGGGGATGTGAGCGATGAGGCTTCCTACATTGGAAACGAGGCAGGAGCTAAACCTGCCCAGGACGGGAGGTCAGCTAGTCCCACAGCGGATTAGGTCTTCACTTCTAGGTTAGGATTGTGGATGATTTTGACCATTGTACATAGAAAGGTTAGGGAATGTGGTGACTTGGTAGTTGTACAGTTCTCTTTTGACTGCGTACATTGGCCTGTGCATGATATGACATGATGAGCTGTGCCTGTACTTTTGAGGCTCGTACTTGCTACTTCTAGCCTTGTTAGCTTGAAAATGACTGCTATGACCTTTGAATGTATAATACTTTGACCTTTGATTTTGACTTTTGACTTTTGACTTTGACTTTGACCTGACTTTATTTCAAATTGGCATTTAACTACTTTGTGTTTTCCCTTGCTTATCGTGATTTCGACTTCATTTTTCTTTGACTTTCGATTGTGAATAAGTATCTGTTGTGTACCTATACTTGCTTACCCAGTTAGTTATAATACTTGGGCCCTAGACCAGTAAGTAATAATGGAGACTAGATGACAACGTGGTCGGGGCCGTGGACATGGATCCAGGCAGGTTCAGGATCAAGAGAAGGAACAGGGGTCTGTAGCTAATCAAAATCAGGGACCCAGAGTTGAAGGAGGGGACTAGGTAGCTACAGCTATCAATCGTATGACTGATTTACTGGCCCGTTTGGTTGACCAGCAGAGTCAAGTACCTGGTAATCAGGAAAAGGACCCCAAAGTAGGTGAAGATAGGGCCCTGGAACAGTTCCAAAAGTTCGCTCCTCCAAAATTTCTTGGGGGCCCCGATCCCGAAGTTGCCGAGAACTAGTTTGAGCGAATGGAGGATATATTCGCTGCGTTACATTACACTGAAGAGAGGCAAGTGACTTTCGCTGTTTTCCAACTGGAAGGTGCGGCCCGTTCTTGGTGGAACATAGTGAGGGCAAAGTGGGACAGGGAGCAAACCCCACGTACTTGGTTAAATTTCACCAGGGAATTTAATGAGAAGTACCTCCCACCCTTAATCTAGGAGAAAAGAGAGGACGAGTTTATCAAACTGCGCTAAGGCACTTCAAGAGTGGCGAAATATGAGACCCAGTTCACCCGACTCTCCAAATTTGCTCCAGAATTGGTAGTTAATGAGCAAAAGCGCATAAGACAGTTCATACAAGGTTTGAATGTAGAAATTCAAAAGGACTTAGCCTCTGCTCAAATTGATACATTTAAAGATGCTCTTGACAAAACTCAACGAGTGGAGCAGGTCCGACTTCAGGTTCGGACCTTTCAAACCAAGAAACGTGGTGCATCTAGTAGTGTCCCTGGACGAGGTGATCAGAATGTACTGCCTCCTAAGTTTGGAAGAGGTGCGGGTGGAGTCCGAATTGTTGGGGCACCGAGAGGAGGAGCTCCATCTAGAGGGGCTCAAAATGGAACGGGACAAGAACAATAGAGGACTATATCCCTAGGAGTTCCTACACCCACTCCTCGTGCAAACTGTAGATATTGTGGTAGGGCAAACCACACTGAGGACGCTTGCTAGCGAAAATTGAAGAAATGTCTCCGTTGCGAAAGTTCAGAACATCAGATCACCACTTGTCCTATTAAGAGCCGTGAAGGAAACGAGGGTGCATGGCCGGAGATGTCAAACCATAAGCAACCAACTGCTAGTGGGAGTAGACCAAAATCCTCTGCTAGGGTTTTTGCCATGGACTATCAGTGAGCCCCTGAGTCCTCTGAGGTAGTAAAAGGTATGATTCCTGTATTCCACTGCTTATCTAAGTTTTTAATTGACCCTAGGGCAACCCATTCATTTGTGAATCCTGCTTTTATGTGTGGTATTGATGTGAATCCTGTTAAATTGCCCTATGACTTGGAAGTTAAAGCACTTACTGGGAATCGAAGCCTAATTACCAATATAGTTTGTAAAAATTGTGAGATTTGGGTAGGAGAACGGAAGTTGGTGGGAGACTTGATAAGTTTAGACCTTAAGGGGTACGACATGATTATAGGCATGGATTTGTTGGCCCGTTATAATGCCCAATTGAACTGTAAAACTAAGGTGATGGAATTCTTGATACCCGAAGATGCCACTCTAAGGTTGGATGTGAGAGGTAGGTTAGTCTCGTCTGCACTTGTTTCGGAAATTCGAGTTAGGAAGTTATTGAGAAAAGGGGCGCAGGGTTACTTAGCTTTCTTGATTAACACTCCTGGAGATAAGGTGAAAATGGAGGATGTGTTAGTACTAAATGAATTTCCTGATGTTTTCCCTGACGAGTTGAAGTCGATGCCACCAGAGAGGGAAATAGAATTTAAGATCGATTTGGTACTTGGAACCACTCCTATTGCAAAAACACCATACTGAATGGCCCCTGCCAAACTTAAGGAATTGAAACTGCAGTTACAGGATCTGTTAGAGCGAGGGTTTATTCGAGAAAGTGAACCACCGTGGGGAGCGCCTGTTTTATTTGTTAAAAGAAGGATGGTAGTTTGAGACTTTGTATAGACTATCGCGGCCTAAATGATGTCACGGTGAAAAATAAGTGTCCTTTGCCACACATTGATGAGTTGTTTGATCAGTTGCAAGGAGCGGTGGTTTTCTCTAAATTGGATCTAAGACAAGGTTATTATCAGTTACGAATTAAGCAGGAGGACATACTGAAAACTGCTTTTAATTCCAGATATGGACATTTTGAATTTGCCATGATGCCTTTTGGTTTAACAAATGCTCCTGCCGCATTTATGGATTTGATGCATCGAGTTTTTAAATCCTACTTGGATCAATTTGTCGTAGTGTTTATCGATGATATCTTGGTATATTCTTAGACTCGAGAGGATCACGAACGGCATTTGAGGATAGTTTTGTAGACTTTAAGAGAGCATCAGTTATATGCCAAATTTAGTAAGTGCGAGTTTTGGTTGGAGAAAATTTCTTTTCTAGGGCATATAATATCTAAAGATGGCATTTTCGTGGATCCAGTGAAAGTAGAGGCCATAGCTTAGGTGAAACGGCCAGAAACCCCAATTGAGATCCGTAGTTTCCTAGGTTTAGCTGGGTATTACCGTCGGTTCATTAAAGATTTCTCCAAGTTAGCCGGTCCTTTAACCGACTTGACGAAAAAGCATGGTCAATTTTTCTGGAGTTCTAAGTGTGAATCTAGTTTTCGGGAATTAAAGAAACGGTTAACGTCGGCACCCATTTTAGCTTTACCAAATGAGAAAGACAGCTTCACTGTACATACAGACGCCTCAAGAGAAGGATTCGAATGTGTTCTAATGCAAAATGGGAGTGTAATTGCCTATGCCTCTAGGAAATTAAAATCCCATAAGCGAAATTACCCCACTCATGACTTAGAATTGGCCACTGTAGTTTTTACCCTAAAGAAGTGGAGACATTACTTATATGGGGTGACTTTTGAGGTGTATACTGACCATAAGAGTTTGAAATACCTATTCTCTCAGAAAGAGTTAAATTTGAGACAACGTTGGTGGGTGAAATTTCTTGAGGATTATGACTGTACAATTAACTACCACCCGGGCAAGACCAATGTTGTAGCGGATGCTTTAAGTCAAAAAGTGCATGCAGCTAGATTAATGGTTAAGGAGTGGAATTTGTTGGAAGATGTGAGTGAATGGAACCCGCGATTGGACCGACAGAGGGTGATTTTAGGCAATATTACGGTGAGATCTAATTTGTTGGACCGAATTAAAGAAGCTCAAAAGAATGACCAGATGATGCAAAAGTGGACAGAAAAAATGCAGAAAGGGGAAATCTTAGACTTTAATGTGAGTTCCGAGGGTATCTTGAAATTTCGTGATCAGATAGTGGTACCGTAAGATGAAGTGATAAAAAGGGACATTTTGGAAGAGGCACATCGATCCAAGTATACAGTACATCCTGGAAGCAGTAAAATGTACCAAGATTTGAGGAGGCTGTATTGGTGGGATAAAATGAAGAAAAAAATTGCTCAATTCGTCCGAAAGTATTTAGTGTGCCAACAAGTGAAAGCTGAACATCAGAAGCCCTCAGGTCTTCTACAACCTCTTGAAATCCCTGAATGGAAATGGGAACATATTACCGTGGATTTCGTGTCAGGATTACCCCGTACCCAGAAAGGTCATGATGCCGTTTGGGTAATAGTAGACAGGTTGACCAAGTCTTCTCATTTCTTACCTATAAATATGAGATACTCTTTGGAGAAATTGGCCCAACTGTACATAGGTGAGATAGTGAGGTTGCATAGGATCCCCGTAAGTATTGTTTCTGACAGAGATCCGCGGTTTGTGTCTCGTTTCTGGCAACAATTACAAGGAGTCATGGGTACCAAGTTGAACTTTAGTACTACTTATCATCCTCAAACTGACGGACAGTCGGAGAGGACTATTCAAACACTTGAGAACATGTTAAGGACATGTATTTTGGATTTTGGGGGAAGTTGGGGACAATACATGGCTTTAGTTGAATTTGCATATAATAATAGCTATCATTCTTCCATACAAATGGCACCGTATGAAACTCTCTATGGAAGGAAATGCCGATCACTAATATTCTGGGATGAAGTAGGGGAAAGAAGGGTTTGAGACCCAACTGCCATACCATGGATCGAGAACGCTTATGAAAAGGTAAAGGTGATACGTCAGAGGCTTCAGACAGTTCAAAGTCGGCAGAAGAGTTATACTGATAATCGATGAAAGGACTTGGAGTTTGAAGTTGGGGACAAGGTATTCTTGAAGGTTATACCACTTCGAAATCTCACGGCGGGAAAAGGAAAGAAGCTTTAACCGAGATACATGGGACCATTCAAAATTCTCCAACGAGTTGGAAATGTAGCATATCGATTGGAGTTACCGGCAAGTCTATCTAGGGTTCATGATATATTTCACGTGTCTATGTTGAAGAAGTATCATCTAGATCCCACTCATGTACTGAAGCCAAAAGAAATTGACATTGACGAATCTTTAACTTATGAAGAAAGGCCGGTACAGATCTTAGATTGAAAGGTGAAGGAATTGAGAACTAAACAAATACCCTTAGTTAAAGTTTTGTGGAGGAATTATGAGGTGGAGGAAGCTACTTGGGAAGTGGAAGAGGACATTCGTGCCAAGTACCCTGAACTATTCAGTGATCAAGGTGAGAATTTCGAGAACAAAATTCTTTAAGGGAGAGAGAGTGTGAGAACCCTCACTTTAAATACAATTTCGCCAAATTACTTGCCTTGCCCTAGGATTTAAATCATTTATTATATGCCCTTGCATTATATTCTACATGTGTTACAACAATTCCCTTGTATTGCATTTCATTTCCTCTTACTTAAATTAAAACATTTCTTTGAGTTGGTTTAGTTTATTTCACCACTTGCAATTTTTACCAAATATTCTTTTATTGTGGTTGGGACTTTATATGATAGGTTAGAGGTGTTAAATAGGTATTGGAACATTTGGAAGGGTTGAACATCTTTAGTCAAAGATTAAGGAAGAAATGGACAAGAATTGGGCCAAGTGGCCAAACCCTAGCCATATATCTTGTTTGACCAAGGGATTAGAAGGAATTTAAGCCATCTTGGAGCCTTTTTTTTTTCCTTAGCTTGGCCGGCCCTCATAGCTTCCAAAAGAAGGAGAGAAAACTCCATTTTCCTTGCTTTCTAAACCTAGTTTGAGTTGGTGAGCAAACTACTTCCAACCTAGTGGGTGATTTTCAAGCTTGAAGCTCTTGGTTTGGTGGTCGTTTTGGATGACTCAAGCTTGTTACAAGAGAGGTAAATGATCTTTAAATCTTAGTTTATGATGATATATGTGAGACCCCGGATAGTCCCTAATTTCGAAATTATGTGATATTACTAGCATTTTGTTCTATTTTGTACTAAATTATTAGAAAACCCTAAATTGGATTATTTATAAAATCCTAGTTTTTGTATTAATCACAAATTTGAGTTGTAATTCATGTTTGGTAGACTAGAGTGGGTTTTGGTACAAGTAAGTATAGGATTCGATTTATTTTATATCGGTTAAGTAAGTGTAAAAGTTAGAAAACCTCAGACTAGTAAACCCTCTAGTGTTCCAATAGATTAGAAAGCTTAAGTTGGATTTAAAACCCTAATTTTGCCAATGTTATAAAGGTTGTTGTTTAATTGTTTTTATTATGGAGAAAGTATGATTAAGTGTAGATGATTAAGTTAGTGGGGTGATTAGTAGAGAAATCAAGTAAGATTAGTTAGTTTGGACTAGATTAAGTTTAAGTCCAATGGAGTAAATTGAAAGAGTTCCAAATGTTTGTGGGCAAGAGTATAAGAAAGAGAAAGTGTTGTTGCAAGGGCTAGGAAGTAAAATCCCACCTCTTATGTGATTGGTTGTTTGGGAAATATCTCCTAGGGTTGATGACTAAGCTATTAGGGTTGATGACTAAGCTTAAATCTAGAATATTCAAGAGAGAACCAAGCTTATAAACAATAAAACACCAAAGGAAAAACCAAAGGAAAAGAAAGAGAGAGAAGGCCGAGTTTGAGAGTGTAAGGCCCAAAGACAACCTAAGAGGGGGGGTGAATTAGGTTGATTAAAATCTTAATCAAATTTATGCAATTTTTGGTTAATAAAAATTTACCTTCTTTTCTAGTAATAATCAATCAAGTAGATTAGAAGAAGAGAGCAATATTGATTCGAAAAACAAGTATAGATAAGCAATGAGAATTTTATTAAACAAAAAGAATAAGATAGAATATCAAACCGATTGTCTACCAAGCTTTCCTCAAACTTGAAGACCAATCACTAGGTTGAGCAACTTCTCTTTGATGAAAGATGATCAACTAGATGTACAATGGAGGGAGCACTTCCTTCTTGCCCTAAGCCTCACTTAGTCAAGCTAAGAAGTTTTACAATCACTCAGATAACCCTCAACAAAGCTACACTAATGAAACTTTCAACCACAAGAGAAAAGCTCACAAGAAATTCACACCACTTGGAGAACAAATCTAGCTTTGGAGACTATTTTCTAGCTAAAATAACTCTTGAGATCTTGTAAACAAAGTGTGCAAAAGTCCTCTTCTGAATCAGAATCGTTTGTATTTAAAGGGAGCCAAAAATGAGCTTCATTAATACATCCAACGGATAGAAGGCAGATGAAGAGTCAGCTAGCCGTTGGAGCTGTCGGACGTCCGACGTCTTAGTCATCGTCCGATCCCATCGTCCGAAACTCAGTCAAGTTATTGTTCGGACGTCCGATGGTATTTTATCGTCCGAGCTTCTGTGTCCGAACGTCGTCCAGAGAGTTATCAAATCTTCGTGGAATTTTTAGGACGTCCGATGAGATTGATGTGCGTCCGAAGCATGCGTCCGATCCTTCAGGACGTCCGATGCTTCCTTACGAGCGTC